GGGTTACCCTACGAAAGGAACTCTGTGGTCAACCACCTGGCGAAGCCAAATCTTCCCTAAGGATCCGAGAACCCTGGATTTCTTCTCCCGTCGCTTCCTCCTGCCCTGACCGCTAGGCCATATTGCTAGACCTCCAACAGCTGGTCATTCCTCCCTAAAACCTGTAAACTCTCCACTTTGGAACCGTGATCATCCAGCCTGAGGCTTTACACCAGTCTTCCCCAACCAGTTGCTGATGGGACACCCTCTCCCATCATCCTTCCGCTGGGAAGGCACGCCCAGGGCTCGCGAGACACACAGCCTAGCAAAATCGCCAGTTGTCCAGCCCTAAACCCGGGTTCCTGTTTTTTCCTCCTGCACGAAAAGCCAGCGAGAACCTGCCTCGGATATTTTGTTTTTCCAGTTCCACCTATCTCCCCTCTCTGCCCTACACCTCCTTGAGAAGGAAAGGAAGTTCCAGTCGGCTCCTTCAACCGACAAAACTGGAGAAAAATACTGTAAACAGAAGGCAAATCCCTAAGCAAACAGGCTGGGGCAGTAGAGGCGCCCTGCCTGGGCCTTAAATCCCGGCACAGGGGATCCCGACCGCACCTTGCCCAGTGGTGCCCTCCAGATGTCTTGCGCTACCACTCCCATACCCACCCAGCAGGCACAGCCCAGTTAAACCAACAGAACAAAAACACGTTCTTCTCCCACTGAAATCCGGTCGTCAGTCAGAACGAGAGTAGGCCCATTGACTCAATGGAACTTAAGGAGGTGTTGACCCACCAAGACTCCTTCAATACAACTGGACTCCTCTGGTTGCAAATTTCAGCTAGAGTTCCCTGCAGAACTTTGAACCAAGATGAAATACAGGTTTAGGGGAAAATCGACTCTTGCCAGCTGGATGCCTGGGTTCTTTGGAAGTCGCTCCTTGCCCCAGAGAAAAATAGGGCACAGAAAGGCGTCTCTGATCTGAAACCTCTTGTCAGCTGGGGTTCCATCCCAGAATCGCAGCCAGCCCCCCTTTGGCTTCAAAGCTAGTTTGATGGTCCAAGTTGGTCCTTCGACCTCCTTCTCTACGCTCTCGCTCCATCCTTCTTCCAACATCATCCACTCTTCCTGGGGGGGAGAACCTCCTCTGACTCTCTCCGAAAGCTTTCTTCTGGCCGCAGCCTGGGTCCAGAGCGCTTCCTTTCGGCTCGGTCGGGGGTTTCAAAGCTAGCTTCTGAAAAAACGAAGCCTCTTGTTGCGCCTTCAGCACCAACAAATCTTGGCTTGATTCGAAGAGGGGTCACCAAGGCTTGTCTGTTAGAGCAGGTATAACAAAATGGACACGGGACGACGGCAACCGGCACCGCAAGAGCTGAGGCACCTCGGAAGGCCAGCAGATATATTTCAGGGCAGGTTTTTGGAACTCACAACCCACCTGCTTAGACCCACCTGGAGTTCTCTGTGGCAAAAACTTTCGTGGCCTGTGTCACATGCTTCTGAAGGAACTGATGGGTCTACGAAACCTTCCTTTCCCCCTTCTCAAATTTGCCAGTCTTTAGGAGCCCACAAGACTTTTGGTTTGGGTTGGCAGAGACTTTGGAACTCCCTCCCACCGGAGCCCAGGCTCGTCCCACCTTGGCTCTCCTTCCACAAGCACTTTTCTCTTCAGGCAAGTTTTTCCTTCGTGACAGGCTGCCTGAGTGGGTTTTTAAAATAGATTCTTCCACCTGATGGCTTTGAACATGTTTTTAGTATTGCTTTTGTTTACTATTTTAGGGTGGTCTTGGATTGATCCTTTTCAGTATTTGCAAACGCGCCGGTAGGTTTACTTTCACCTTGTCGTTTAAGGATGTAAGCCATCTTAGCTCCTTTGAAGGAGGAGAAAGGCGGGGTGAAAAATATTTTACACACAGAAAAAAAGAAATGTTCACAGACAGAACGGCAGGTGCCAATTCTGCAGGCGGCACCTCTCATCTGGTATAGCGCCTTGGAGGGGGGCAGAGCCCTGGCTGGCTTTGCCGGGTGCCGCTACGAAACTCAGGGACCCAGGTGCACCCGAGGGTGCTGCGGAAACTGGATGCCTGCCTGCTTTCTCCTCCCGCTCCCCCCCCCCTTCCTGGGCACCTGCCCCACCAGTTCGTAAAAAGACTCCAGGCAAGCACAGGATGGTGACAAAGCAGAGAGAAACTCTTCTGCAGGAGCCCTTTGTCATGGTGCGCCCGGAAGGTGTGCCCAAGGAGGGGGTGCCGATGGATGGAAGGCCGAGGGAACTGACCCAACCGGCCAAGTCGGTTTCGAGGGAGGGGAATTCTGCAAGAGGAGGAGGAGGAAATGAGAGGGGGAAAAAAATCAACGATGGTGGGCATTTTCTCTTTTTTTAGAGAGAGCCAAGTTTTAGCTGGAGACCGAGAGCTAGAGATGTTTCCGAGGCAAGAAAATAACAAAGGCCATCCAAATCACCTAAAGTCGGTGTTTTCAAAAATACCAGTTTTGTAGGTTTTTTTTTTAAAAAAAAACACACAATGAGATTTGTGGACATAGGGGAGGGCAGTGGTTCTCCCACACCTTCTTGTCTTGTTTGGAGAAGGAGGGACAGGCTGTTCTTCGGAGCTCCGTTGTCTAAACAGAGAGCTAACAACAAGGGCCTTTTCTCAAAAGCTTCTCTGATTCCTTCCCTCCCCGTAAATCCTCGCCAAGCCCAATTTAAGGCCATTGGAAATGCTACAGATTTAGCTGGATTGTAGATCAGGGGCGGGTAGAAAAGCCGTATTTTCCCCCAGGAAAGCCAGAGAGATAGGAACCAATACATTATTAAGCTAAGGGCTTTTACGGAGAATCGGAAAGGAAAGATGATGATAGGGAAACGCTTCTGAGCTACCACCCCCCAATGCAGTGTTACCCCCATCTAGATGACCTGGGAAAAGAGATGTAAAATTTCCCAAAATGTCCATTAAAAAAAGTTAAGTTCTTTCAGAGAACTTAAACACATAAAGTCTCCGAAGGCTTAAGGTCACAGACATATTATTTATCATTATAAAAGAAGATGTTCCACATGCCATGTTTTTCAATTAAAAAAAAAACACACACAAAGAATTTGTTTTAAAAGGCTGGGGGGGAATAGAAAAAAACTGTTTAATTCCCCGATTTTTCCATTTTCCCCCCAGGCCTTCCCCATCTCTATTTGGGACTATAAACTCCATCCTCCCCAGCCATCTTTTGAGCCAGCAGGCACCTCCAGCTGCTTTTAGAGAAACAACCCCGTGGAATTTTTCCTTATTGGACTTCGGTTCTCGCCATGTTTTTCAATTAAAAAAACACACACACAAAAGAATTTTTTAAAAAAGGCTGGGGGGATAGAAAAAAACTGTTGCCAGATTTTTCCATCCCCCCCCCCGGC